AAAAAAAAAAAAAAAAACAATTCCAAAAAATCCGAAACAAAACTATGGTACGCAGAAAAATAAACTGAACAACTTTTACCTCAGGGTCACATCGAAATTCTTCACCAGATTTAGAATACAAAATAAAATTTAAAAATAATTTTTTCTTTTAGTTTTTGTAATTGTTTTTTGCCCGGCCGGGCAAGTGACCCCGGGCCACTCTGGTAACCTAGTAATTTTCCATTTTTTTTTCCAACTATTTTTTCAATTTTATTTATCAATTTTATTTTTTATTTGAAATTGGGTAAAGAATTTCGATGTGACCCTGAGGCAAGAGTTGTTCAGTGTATTTTTCTTCATAACATGTTTTTTTTAACTTTTTTCGTTTCTTTTTTTTTTTTGCTGGGAGCCTGGGACCTTCCCTGGTCCTTGCACGGCCGGGCCGCCTGGGAAAACAGGGTGACCGGGCGGCCCGGCTGGTAGCCTATAAAGTATAATCTTACTATAATGCAAATTTAATGCCCTCACATGGATATAAGCTCAGGAGTAGCGGCAGGTAGGTAGTGAGAGGTGAAATTGAGAGAAAAGAGAAACTTAACTTTTTTTTTTGGGAGGGGGGACTTCAAAATTATTTATAGCGAATTTAATGCCCTCACATGATAGTTGATTTCTGGATCATGGTCGGTCAACCGAGGTCCCCCTCAATCCCCCCCCCCCTCCTCCCCCCCTTCTTCAAAAAAAAAAAAAGGGAGGTCGCCTGCATAGCGATCTTACCTTGCGACGTCCTGTTTGAGCTCATGATATATTTTTTTGTAGTGGTTAGACTCGCCTTCATACGCGAGAGCCCTTTTCTGAAGCAAGCGTAATGCTTCTGCTGCAGCTGCTCTCAAAAATACAAAATTTTAAATTAACAATTTGGCACCAAAAAATTGCAAAAAAAACGGGGAAAAAAATGCACACACAGTGTCAGACACACAGAGGCAAAGTCAACAACATCAACAAAAAAGGGAAGACCAGATTCCAAAAATAGACATTTATTATTTCGCATTAGTATTTACTATTTACAATTTTGAATTTCCAAAATTTTGAAATTTGAAATAGGACCCAGCTCATGCCAGAATCCACAAGACATTTGCACTTCCTCCTTTTGCTCTTTATTTTATAAGATAAATCATAATAGATTTGAATTTTAAAATTAAAAAAATAGAAACTTAAAAAGCCATATATAACATACTGAATTGTAGATTTTAAAAATAAGAAGAAAAGGAATGTGCAGGTTGAGGGCTGCAGTACATATCCTATCTTCTGCCATCTGGAAAAAAAAAACAGTCATTCAAATTCCGTACCTGGGTTGCACAGCGTATACGTACGCGGGGCCGCGACACTTACGTACCACGGACGTGTACGCGCGTACTCAGAAATGGGGCCCCCGTACGTGGTCGTCGTGGGCCATTTCTGTGCCCGTTTTTGGTCGTGGTACCAAGTGAGGGGACTTCGGGAGACTGGGGGATGTCAGGGGGGTGAAGAGAGGAAGGGGTCCGGTCGGGGGGGCCACAGTCCGCCTGCGATTTCGGAATTTGGGGCCCGGGGTAACGCGAGGAAAGGGTCCAGTCGAGGGGTGCATCGTCATCGCCTGAGGAGGAGTTGCCATCGCCCAAGGAGTCGTCGCCATCGCCCGAGGAGTCGTCGCCATCGCCCGTGCTGTTGTCATCACCCGTCGCCATCGCCCGTCACGTGTGCAGTCGCCGTCGCCATCACCCGTCGCGTGTGCAGTCGCCGCCACCATCGCCTGTCGCGTGTGCTGTCGTCATTGCCCTTGGAGGAGGAGAACAATGCCCGTCGCCCGTCACCCGTCGCCCGTTGTCGTCGCCATCACCCTGAAGGTAAGTTCATGCCACTTCATGGTTTGTCCTCCTCGTTATGTACCCGATTAAACTTCAATCCACAACGAATTCACACGTTCCCATACACGCATGCAGTTGCAGAGTAGACTTGGAGGCAGCAAATCCATACAAAACCGGAGAGAAGATATGCACAGCGGAAGCTCAAAATACACAGAATTGAAAAACGAATTTCAATTCTGCAATCCCTCGTCCTCCTCCAATCAATCCAGAGTATTTGTTCCACGAATCACAACCGCGTTTACAACAACCCTGAACAACCAGATACAAGTGTTCAATGAAGTATGCAGGAGTCTTCTTCTCCCTCCTTGCCACCTCATAACCCTGGCTATGGCTGCCGTAGTAGCAGTAACCCCCCCCATAGCTGTCACAACGTGCCAATCTGAACCAGCAACCCTAATGATAACAGCGCCAGCTCAGCACCCGCACGGAAGTGCAGCGCTGGAAGTCCTGATGAAGAAGGAGACAACCGATCCAGCACTTCGAAGAAGACAAAGTTCCTCGAGAGGAGGAACAGCAGATATGGCTGCCAAGTGGAAGATGGCAGCACCCAAACCCAACACCACAGTCCTGTGGAAGCTCTCATGCAGAGCTGCAAAATAGCAGCAGTGCGATCTTCAACTTTGTTTCACAACCCCAGCTATGGTCGGGCTTCAAGGAAGAAGATGACCTCGCCCAAAATAGAGCAGCAGCGCTCCAACAACGGACGGGCAGAGTTTCCCCAGCCAACGAAAACGTGAAAGACCCACACCAAATTTGAAATTTCCTAACCGCTACTTCTTCTACCCTCTGCCTAGACCTACGACGGACTCCAAAGGCAACAACCCAATACTCATATGCATCTAGATGGAAACGGGGGGAAAAGGGGACCTAGACCTATGACAAGGCAAAGGAAAAGGCCGAATGGCCTAGGACTACCAAACAGAGACTACTAGTGACAGACTCAGGGATCAAGTCCCATAGGGCGCAGCACTCACAAACAAAACACAAGAGTTACAGGTCACGGGATCAAGTCCCTCAAGGCTCAAAACAAGAAAACAGACTACAAAGCCAAATACTTAGTGTACACCCCCATTGGGAAACTGCGATTTATAGAATCCTTCTCCTTCTCCTCCTCCTCCTCCTCCTCCCTGTAACGTCAGTTTTTTTTCCTTCTGGCTTTGGAATCGTTACGTATATTTGTTGGCTATGGGAGGAGGAGGAGGAAGAACAAGATCGCGATGAGGAGGAGGAGGAGGAGGAGGAGGAGAAAGGGGGAAGATATTCCTCCTCCTCCTCCTATACAGTTAAACACAATATATTTTATATATATTATTATATATATATTATATATACTATACAATCTATACATATTACAAAAAAAAATAAAAAAAATACGTACACGTCTGCGGGTTTTTGGACATGTACGCGTACTCGTGCATACTTACTCGTACGCTGTGTACATGGTGCTACCCAGTTCCGTACAGAGGCACTTCTGGGTCAATTTGGGATAATTTGGGATAATTTGGGATAATTTGGGACAAACTGGGATACAATGGGACAACCTAAGAATTGGCAGGAATGGGACAAACTGGGACAAAATGGGACAAAATGGGACAAACTGGGATAAACTGGGATACAATGGGACAAACTGAGTGAAATTGGGAGGGAATGGGACAATTTGGGACACTTTGGGATAATTTGGGATAATTTGGGATAATCTGGGACAAACTGGGATACAATGGGACAACCTGAGAATTGGCAGGAATGGGACAAACTGGACAAACTGGGACAAACTGGGACAAACTAGGACAAACTGGGACAAACTGGGACAAACTAGGACAAACTGGGACAAACTGGGATACAATGGGACAAACTGAGAGAAATTATGGGACAATTTGGGACAATTTCGGATAATTTGGGACCATTTCGGGGCCTTTCAACAACTTGGGACAAACTGGGACAAGTTGGGATAACTTGGCACAGTTGGGGACAATTTGTTATCCCATCAAAAGCAATAAACAACAGAAATGGCGCAGCCCAGAGAGAGAAACAGACGACAAAGTGGAGTGTTCATATGATTAACATAAAAAAAAAAAAAAAAATGAATGCATACATTGTATACTATACGGATACCACTTATCCCAAATCGCGTTCAAACTTATCCAACGAAGTTTTTCCAGAAAATCCTGTTGTGAGTCTTGTGACAGCTATGTGTTACAGTTCTTCGATTCTAAACGACTTCCTCGCCAACGGAGCTCACAAGGCTTGAACCCTTGTCACTTGACCTCTTGATTGACAGTTCCCGATGGGTGTTTTTGTAGTACAGGGTGTACCATTCATTCACCGGGCAGCTGCAGTGGCACTTCAGCGGATTGGGAACAAACATGCAAACGAAGAGCGAACCCAAACACAGACACTTAATTCAAGGGTTTGGGGTTTAGGGTAAAGGGCTTGGGGGTTAAGGTTTAGGGGTTAGGGTTTAGGGTTTCGAGCATGGCATGTCGGGTTGAGGGTTTAGTGTTAGGGTCTAGGGTGTAGGGTGTAGGGTTTAGGGTTTAAGGTTTAGGGGTTTAGGGTGTAGGGTTTAGGGTGTAGGAATTAGGGTTTAGGGTGTTGGAGCTTGGAAATTAGGGTTAAGGGTCGTGTTAGGGTTTAGGGTTTGGGGGTTAGGGTTTAGGGATATGAGGTTGGCAATTAGGATTTAGGTTTCGGGTTTAGAGCTTGGCATTTAGGGTTTAGGGTTGTGTTAGGGTTTAGGGTTTAGGGTTTAAGGTGTAGGCACTGTAGAGTTTACGCAACTTTATGGGCTATATTGTACTGTAGTTGGGTCTGGGGTTAAGTGTCATTTTACCCGAATTGTGGAAGAACCATGGCACGAAGAGGAGGTCGACATACACAAGGTTAGACATAAACAAATACTCTGCCCCTTGTGAGAAAGAAACAAGTACCACAGAACTGGCACTATATTCATCTTTTTTCTTGTTTTTTTTTTTCTTCTATTTTCACATGTTCTTGTCCAAAGACTGCCATTACCCTGCGTTCCGAAATGGAAATGGATCTCCAAACTTCTTAAAAAGGAAGTAAATGAATTAATTGAAATTAATAATCATTTCCATCAAAATGGGTCTTGTGAAAAACACCTATAGATGCTGCAACACACACGCAAACATAAGGACACGTGCCTGTTAAAAAAAAAAAAAAAAAAACGGCATATGCCACCCCTTGAGTAGGTGACTCGTGCCGCAAGGGTTGCGCTATTCTTCTTCAACACTGTTCTTCCGCCTTCTTTTTCTTCTTTGTACTCATGCTTACCAGGGATAAGCAACCGGAATGATGCCCCCCAGAACAGAAGGGGCCGGGAAAGAAAGGGAAAAAAAAAAAGAAAAAAAAAAAGACACATGCCTGTATCTCTGTCGCACACGTCCTTGTGTCCTTGTGCATCCACACTCTCCTACAACCAACTCATGTGATGAAACAGTCTGACAGAGTCATGCGCTTTTTGTGGAGAGTTGTGTATAATGAACATGACAACACACACACGAGATGAAACAAAGGCTGCAAGCCGGAGCTTTATGGTTGGCTGGTACGTTCCGGAAAATAGAGAGCTGGATATAGATCAGAGGTTCATACAGAGGTTCATACTTACTGGGGTCGTAATTAACTAGGAATGTCTGTCTATTTGCGATCAAATTGTCCCATAGCTCATCAAGCTTCTTGTTGAAGGAGGTGGAGAAAGAGAATGAGCTCGAACAGACGAGGGAGGGGGAGGAGGAGGAAGACAAGGAGGAGCAGAAGCAGTGAGAGGACAAGGGAAACCAAAGAAGAAGAAGAACCACCACCACCAGCACCACCACAACAACAACAAAGAGGAGGAGGAGGAGGAGGAGGAGGAGGCAGACGAGGACGAGAACAAAACCAAGGCCCTGACATATCGCCAAAGCAGGATGTGTGACTCACCTTTGGTCGTTTCATTCTGAGCGCAGTCCCCTTTGGCCCTGATTCCTTTCCCCAGCTCATGCCTTGCAAGGGGGTCATTATTGCTCAGAAGATTCTGCTCACACTGAGGTGCTGGTGGGGCCAGTGGAAGAGGACAAAACCCGGGAGATCGCACATACAGCTGACGGTAATGTTGTAATCTGCTCTGAGAGAATGGAATGGACAATCCGATAGAGCCTTGTGGGTGGTAGTGAGACTGCGTTATCGTTGAGCCCGTGGCGCCCCATTCGTTGCTTCCTGTTTCCGCCTTCGGCGGTGCGGGAGTCACATCCGCAGCAGCCCACCCGTTCCTTGCCATCCTGCGATAGTGTGAAAATTCGGCACTGGGCGCCCATCCGTTCTCCGTTTTACCGTTCTCAGACAGTGGAACCATCCTCTCACTCCTTATGCATCCTGGTATGAACTGGGGTATGTATTTCAACAGTTGATGGGTGCACCGATCGATCCCGCTCCTCCTTTTTTTCCCCCTTTCTTTTCTTGGGTTCAATGTGGGCCGACGGACCACGGATCAGATATTAAACTGACCAGAATAGAAACTACACGATCTTTAGGCAAAATGCCAAGAAGGGTAGCCATCCTCTCACTCAGAATCCCTAAAAAGGCAAGTTGAGTATCATCACCAACAGCAACAGTGTTGGTGACAAAATGGCACCGCTTTGGCACCGTTTGGCACCGTTTGACACAGTTTGGCACCGTTTGGCACTGTTTGACACAGTTTGGCACCGTTTGGCACCGTTTGACACAGTTTGGCACCGTTTGGCACAGTTTGGCACTGCGGAGACATATTTGCCAAAAGTAGCAGGTGACTGCAGCTGACAAACGTAACAAAATGGCACCGTATTTCACCGTGTGTCACACCAAAAGACACATTGGCCACAAGTAGCTGGTGACAGCAGCTGAGAAAAGTCGCAAATGTCACCATTTGTCACCATTTGGCACCGTTTGGCACCATTTGGCACCGTTTGGCACCGTTTGGCACCGTTTGGCACCGTTTGGCACCGTTTGGCACTGTTTGGCACTGTTTGGCATCATTTGTCATCGTCGGCCACAGCAAAGACACCTTTGCCACAAGCAGCAAGAGACAGTGGCTAACAAATGTCACAGAGGTTACCATTTGTCACTGTTTCTCACTGTTTGTCACTGTACGAGAAAGTTCTTCATGATTTGTTGCCATGCATCACCGTTTGTCACCCGAAGGAGACACAGTTGCGACAAACAGCAGATGACAACAGCTGAAAAATGTCGCGAATGCCACCGTTTGTCACCGTTTGTCACCGTTTGGCACTGTTTGTGTGTTGCCATTGGTCACTCGGTCTTGTCACCATTTGTCACAGAACAGACACATTTTCCATCAGCAGCAGATGACAGGAGGGAGCTGACAAATGTCACAAAATCTGGCCCCGTTCATCACTGTTTGCTGCACCATTTGTCACTGTCTGCCTTTTTTTTGACCGCTCATCACCTGCCTTGTGACCGCTTATCACCGTTTGTCACAAAAGATACACATTCGCTGCGAGGAGCAGATGAAAGCATCTGAGACTGTCACAAATGTCACTCTTTGTCACCATTTGTCATCATTTGTCACTGTCTATCAAAGATACACATTTGCTACGAGGAGCAAATGAAAACAGCTGACACTGTCACAAATGTCACTTTTTGTCACCATCTGTCACCATTTGTCACCCGTCTATCAAAGATATACATTTGCTGCGAGGAGCAGATGGAAACAGCTGAGATTGTCACAAATGTCAGTTTTTGTCAGTGGTTGTCACCATTGGTCACCATTTGTCACCATTTGTCACCATCTGTCACACTGTCACACTCTGTCACACTCTGTCACACTCTGTCACACTCTGTCCCCATTTGTCGCTATTTGTTTGTCAATGTTTGTCACCATCTGTCACGTTTATTCACCGTCAGTCCTGGGGAAGAAAAAAAAACACATTTTGTCACGAAGTATCAAGGCAGGCCCTGGGCCAGACACGGGGCATGAGCCGAACACAGGTTGCAATGACTGATGATGACAAACAGGTTGAAGAACAGCTAACAAAATCTGGTTAACCACATTCAGAAGGTCATGGGTTCGATTCCCCACTCGCCCATCCAGTTCCCCGCGGCCCATGGGGACACTTCGGGTTCACCGGCTGAGATAGTTGGCTTGGCCCCCCTGGTTGATCTTGGTAGTGGCCGAGTGGGTGAAAGGCATATGTTCGCAACGTGCAACTTTGAGCATACTCGCACTAGCACTTTTTTACTTACTCGTGGATGGAATTGTGGCCAGATGCATGCAGGTCCGGCCGTAAATGCGGTCAGATACATTTAAGATTGTGCTAGTGTGAATATGCCCTCTGTCATGCAAATATGTATTGTATTCTCTGTGAGAGTTCAAGCGTACCTGAACGGAATCGTGGCCAGATGCATGCAGCTACGGCCGTAAATGTGGTCACACACATTCAAGATTGTGCTAGTGTGAGTACAGCCTTTGTCATGCAACGATGTATTGTATTCTCTGTGAGAGTTAAAGCCTCCGGTCTTTCCCCGAAAAGAGCGCCCCATTATGATAGCTGAACGTGGACCAAATTTTTGGTCTACATACAGCGATCATGACCAGGCGAGTCCTATTTGGGGTAATGATGACGCGAGCATAGGTTTACTAAATCAACAAAAGTTACAAAACGAACTCTTAAGATTGTAGCATCAGAATTGTTCTTGAGAATCCTTCAGATCAGATTCAGCATTAGATACTCCTCTCTCTCTCTCTCTCTCTCTCTCTCTCTCTCTCTCTCTCTCTCTCTCTCTCTCTCTCTCTCTCTC